GGGCATGGACCGGATCCAGCAGGTCTCTTTCAGTGTGCTTATGGAACCTCCAGGTCCAAGGGCAGTCTATCTAGATTCCTAGGTTCTTTGCGGTATTGGCCGTTGTGAGATCAGGATGCTAGGCTACATGGGCCCCCTCTGGCCTCATCCAGCTGCAGGGCTCTTCTTAGATTCTGGCAGGCTCTAAAAACCTAACATTTACTGGTTTCTCGCCAAACCGGCTTCTGTTTATTGTGGACTCAGTCAAGACAAAGGTTCTCTCTCGCTCACTACAAATGCCTCAGTACAATATAACAGAAGGTTGGCAACTGCATGGCAAGAGCTCCAATGGTCTAGCAGTTCTGAAGAGTAGTCCTGGGCAGCAGCGATCCTGTGATATGACTCGCAACTTCCACCCTCTTTTGAGGTGGGAGGTGTATGTCACTAGACCTGATCAGTGGCAAAAGCTTCGACAAGTATCTGTAGAAAGCTGTGCAAATGAGCAATTCCAAACCGGTTTACCTCAATAATTGCTAACCAAGGACTGCCCAGGTGCGGGTCTGACACACCTTTGGACAGAGGATTTTCTGCAACTGCAAAAAAAGGAAGAGCACTGAAAGCAATGTATAAATGGTAAAATACCAGTTGGATCAGTCCGGAACTGGTTTTAAAATGCACTCCTCCTACTCCATCATGGACACTGCCATCTAATAAATTTCTGCTAAAAGAAAGAAAGAAAATGAGTCCTGCAAAGTCAGTTATATCCTTTGTGAAAAAAATCACAGTCATAGAATGGTAGAGCTGGAAGGGATCCCAATAGGGTCATCTATTCCAATTCCTTGTTAATGCACGAATCCAACAGCTACTGTTGTCAGAACTAGAATCTGTCCACAAGCTTGATTTCAATTTCGTTTACGGACATCATTGCTGAAACCAAGCTTTCTTCTGACTTTGCAACGGGTACCAAATTAATAGTAGCTGAGTTTGTCTCCTTGGTGTGTTTGGCAACTCCTTCTGGAGTTTTTTATCTATTTTTATTAGTATTTGAATTTTCTTTGCTTTTACAATGTTATTTTATTTTCATTTGTATTTTGAACAGCTGCCTCAGGGTTGTTGATTTTGGCAAGATAAACAGGATACTTTATTTTAAAAATCAACAACATCACAAATACATAAATAATAAGAGAATTCTGCTTCTGTCACCAATAACTACTGGAATCAATAATGGCCACAATGCTTACCCTGTTAGATACATGTAAACTATTTTCAGACTGAAACTGTATCCACATTTTATGCCCTTTTCCAAACACACGCTGCACATATATTTATGCTAACTTCATAATGCACCTTCACAAACATCTTATGCCATATAATAATGGGGAGCCAATTAAAGATACTATCAAGAAAACTCTCTCCTTTTTCTTGTGGATATTAATGGCAGCAGGGATATCTAAGGATATTCCAACATTCTGGGCCAGAACAAGGAGAGAGAATTCTGGCAAAATGTTTGCCACCACGTGCATTAACAGAACCACTTATTATTGCCCAGCCTTTTCTGTTCACAATAAGAGACTGGCCTCAGATCAACTAAATCCCACCACTGGAACACTGGCAATCTGGCTCTCCCACACCCTCCACTGTCTTCGCTCCTGGCTCCTCAATTTCATACAAGAACTTCCACAGTCTCTGGCTTATGCTTAACCACTACTGCAGTGGCAGTTGAGTGTTCAGCAGTAATTTCAAACTAGGAACTGGGAAGACGCAGATTCTAACACTACACTCAGCACAGGGCAATCAGCATGCTCTCATCCTTAACCTTAACCTATAGGGTGCAGTGTGGGGTAAAAACAGGAGGGAATGCTAACTGAAAAGAAAAGTCGGGATATAAATGTTATAAAGTAAGAAACTGCCTTTATACCAAACAGGGTCTGTTACCCAGATTGGACCTGGATCACTTCTGTGAATCGAAGCAAGTGGATGCTTTGCCTTTCAAAGCAGATCCTCTCACTCACTGTCCTGACACAATAAGGTTCTGAGTTCTCATGTTCTGGAAGAAAGGGCTGAATTTAAAAAGGGAAGCTGCCTTATCCAGAAGTCAGGGCTATTGGTTTGCCTACCTCTAGCATTTCTACAATCGGACTGGCAGCAGTGCTCCAAGGTTTCGGAAAGTGAATGGGGTCTCTTTCCCAGCCCCCTTGACAGATGCCAGGGATGAAGGCAGGGACCTTCTACGATGCAGGCAGAAGCTTGTACTCACTAAACTACAACCCTTCTTCCCATAAATAATCTCACTATCACTGCAGAAAAGAAATGTATCATATTGAAAGCATTCACACATCTCTCCAGCCCTTGTACCTTTGACAGGCAAAGCTGTCTTGCTTAATTTCTACTGTCCTGTTGAGGATGGTGTGGTTTTATTTGTCTTTATAAATGCACACCATTTTGCTGTAAACCACGCTGGGACCTTATGGTGATGGGGGTAAGAAATCTTACAAATAAGATATAATAGTAATAAAAACCTTCTCAGGACATACATGTCTGCGCTATGCTCTCCCCAGGAAATCCTCCAGATTTCTTCTCCTCTAATCCCCATTGCTCATCTGTGCTCATGTCTCATATATGAAGTCCACTCTCTGTTCAGCTACCCTTCTCGCCTATTCAATAGCAGTTATCCTAGATAGATAGAATATTATGCTTGACTAGGACCTGGGAGATCAGTTTTCAAACATTTCTGACTCTCAGCCCATGTTAGGCTCATTTTGTTTTGGGCGAACCCTGAGCTGCTGGGCTGACTGCTCTGCGACCTACGCCTTCCTTGCAGAGGTGGTTTCTGAGGTAAAAACGGGATTGTACTAGCTCTTTACTCACTTCCTTTGCCCTATTGAACACTGAGAATGTCTGGCGCTGCCACTTCTATCCTGTTTGCCAACTAGCAACAATCCTCTCTGCTCCTGCTCTAATTGTTACTTTGCTTCGAAATGTTTTAAGATTGTGTGTTTACCCCTCCTATGGGTACCTGCTTGCTGAAGCTCGAGCCAGCGGGTTGAGATCTCTCACATGAAACACACAAAGAGTCTGGTTCATCAAAGCCTGTACCTACGTATATTCCGTCAGTGTGAAGCTCTGTTAAGCTACCAGCTTCCCAGGAGGGGGTGCACAGCAACGAGCGCATTTTCCTTAGCCTTGGGTAGTCTCCGTGAGTCGGATCGCATTCGTCCCATAAATGATCTTGTTGAATGGAATTCCTTTTGGAGTATTAGTGAGCTAGTCCTCCTCCCCCCCCTCCTTTCTGCCACGCCTTGTCATCGTTTCCGCCCGACATCTGCGACGCCGCCCCCGGGACACAGTATTCAATTGCCATCTTTTCGCATGCTTTTCTCTCTGTCCATGCTGCCCTAATGGGGACATTAGGAACCAGAGCGCAAAGCAGAAAGGGGTGGAGAAGGAGATTGGTGGTATATGCTCTATCGCCTGCCAAATAGTTCTCTTGCGATCTCCGGTTTCTAGGATGCAAGTCCATAGATTGAACTGCTCTGTCCAACAGAACTAGCCCAGGTATGCCTTATAAGTTCTTCTCAATCGACTCTCTATCCTGTGTCAGGGCCGTAGCCCGAACTCTACCCCCTCCTTCTCTTCTTTGGAAAATCATAACCCCCACGTGCTGCGAACCCAATCAAGTTTTCCGTAGACTGCAAATCACATTGAGCTGGCGATTGGAATCTGGATTGTATGCTGACTAGGATGAAGAAGAATAGCGATTCCTTTGCAACTCTTAAACCGAGGGGATAGTGCGAATAG